GACACTTGGGCCTTCGGTGGAGCTCCCTATGGGGCCACGAAACGTGTGAGGGGTGCGTCGACATGGAGGTGGAATCGCATGCGGACCCTGACACTTGGGCCTTCGGTGGAGCTCCCTATGGGGCCACGGAACGTGTGAGGGGTGCGCCGAAATGGAGGTGGAACCGCATGCGGACCTTGCCACTGGGGCCTTCGGTGGAGCTCACTATGGGTTCACGAAACGTGTGGCCATGATGGAGACGGCGATGATGATGACGACGATGGTGATAAGAACGATGATGATGATGATGCTGATGATGACGGTGACGATGACGATGATGATGATGATGCTGATGATGAGAGGAGGAGGAGGAGGAGGAGGAGGGGGAGGAGGAGGAGAGGAGGAGAGACGCGGGGCACCGTCTCTTCAAAACGAGGACCCATCACCACAGGATGGTTGGGAAAAATAGTCTGGGGAGTATTCTTTTTGTATTTTTGGGCTTCTTTTGAATATGTGTTGAATATTTTTATTTTTCGTCCAAAATGCCCCTGTAGGGGGACAGGCCGGACCTAATCCTTGGCCTCCGCTTTCGGAGCATCGAGAACAAAACAACCCCAAACCCTCATAGCACGATGAAGACGTTGCCTTTCTTAAATCCCCGTCCCCGCATGAAGATAACAAATCTGGGCAGTTCGATTCGATCCATCTGCAGAGATGTCCCCCGTATCCCTAATGCTCCAGGCCCTCCTAACTTAAGTCCCCTCCCATAGGGTTCGGGGTTCTTTTTTGGTAAATCCTCGGGGGAGAGATGGCTGGGGCGCTTCGGCCCGATCATTTCTAGGTCTCCCAGATGGGGTCGGAATGCATGGGGTCGAAGGATCGCGCCGCATCGCCGATGATTTGCCGATTTTCTCCACGCCGACGGCGTCAATGCATCGCCCGCGTCGCCGATGCATCGGCGATTCTGCGTGATCGTCCGACACCATCTACTCCGACCTCAGTTGGGAGGCCTCTGTCATCGTCATCCACGTCCCCACATCCTCCCCTTGTCTCTTCTCCTGCTCTTGCTCCTCCCTGATCCTATTCCTTCTCTGCGGGGTCGTGTCCTGGGAGGGAGACGGTGAGGGGGGAGGGAGAAGGGGGAGGGAGTGGGGTGGAGGGGACAAGCTAGGTGCTCTCGTGCCACGCCTGACATCCTACCCCGCTCACCTGTCTCTTCGTGAGTCGTTTCTATCTGCCGGCTGGGGTGTCCTAGATGACCTTGCTCCCAAAACGGCCCCCATCGTGAGAAAAGTACTCAGAGGAAGGGCTTGTACACTGGACGAGGAGGAGGAGGAGGAAGAGGAGGCGACGGATGAACATGAATATGACCCGGAGGAGGGTCGGAAGAGGAGGAAGGAGGAGGAGCAGCAGCAGGAGCAAACGCTGGAGGAGAAGGAGGAGCAAGGGAAGGGCGCAGGAGAGCAAATGAGGGCACAGCAGCGATGAGGAACGAGTCCGATCCAGCATGGAGCCCCCCGCCCAGGGACCAGGGCGCAACTCTGCACGACGGGAGCAACGCGCCGACCCAGAAGAGGGGCCAGCTCTGCCGCGGGAGCAGCATCTCTGTAAAAGTACTCCAAGTCCCTTATTAATCGACCCCCCCTAATTATCCTGGCGAAGGACCCAACCATATGCAGTTGTGAGTATCGCAATTGTGAGTATCTTCTTCGGTGGCGTTCCCTATGGGGCCACGAACCGCATGAGGGGTGTGCCGAAATGTGGCGGGGTACACAACGCAAAGGAATACGATAGATCTGATTACGAGAGAAAGAACGCGGGTGAGTCAGAGCGAGAGGGAATCTGAGTATGAATGGGTCTGCGCGCGAGTGAATATATTTGCATGAATGCGATCATGGAACGCCTAGTGTAAGTGTCGAGCATGCCTGTCCGAACACACGTGACACTGGGCGTGGCCGCCGCAGGCAGCTTCCGCGGGAACCCCGACGGCAGCGTCCGCACGTCGCGACGCCCATGTCGGCACGCCTCTTGCGAGGATCGCGCCCGCTTTCGGCTCTTCTTTTCCTTCCTCTTTGCCCGCGCACTCCAAAATCCAAGGCTGCGGGCGCAGCGCAGCGCGGAGTCCCCGCGACGCGCGCTGGTCGCCCCGGGCGGGGTCCCAGCGACGCGCGCGGGTCGTCCGCTGCGCGAAGCAGAGAGAGCTGACTAGCTAACTGGCTGGCTGATAGCGGGCAAGTCTCTGACCGCTGGGCAGAGCGACGACGGGCGAACGAGGCGCCGGGCCCCCCGCAGCACGGAGTTCCCGCGACGCGCGCTGGTCGCCCCGAGAGGGTCCCAGCGACGCGCGCGGGTCGTCCGCGGCGCGAGGCCAAACAATTAGTCGGGCAGTCGAGAGAAGGCGCGGCTCGGGGGAGACGCTCCTCAGGTCAGGCCTCGCGGATGAACTCGGTGAAGCCGAGCTCCCTGGCGAGGGCCGTCGCTTCCCTCCTGCACCGCTTCGTGCGCGCCGCAAACTGCTCCAGCTGCTTCCGCAAGCCCTGCGGCGGCCCTGCCAGGAAGAACTCGATGCGCGGCGCCCGCATGAGCAGGAGGTCCTCGTGGCGCGTGGCGCGCGAGAGCAGCACGTAGAGCTCCAGCCACCAGTCGTCGTCCTCCTTCTTGCCGTTCCCTACCTCGTGGCGGCCGCAATCCAGGATCACGCCTGGGCGACGTCGACCGAGGGAGCAGCGCGCCGGGCAGCCGACGGCCCAGGGCGAGAGTCCACAGGACCGAGAGATGGTCTGGCCGCGGACTGCTCGCGCCCCGGAGGTCTGGCCGCCCCCGGAGCGCCGTTCCCCCGCCCCGTCGCCTTCGCGCATGGTGCGCCCCTGGCACGCCACCGTGGTGATGACCCTGCCGTGCGAGAAATGCGGGGGGTGTGCCGAAATGGGTGGGGGTGACGCATGCGGGCGGCGGCACTGAGGCCTTCGGTGGAGCTCCCTATGGAGCCACGAAGCGTGTGAGGGGTGTGCCGAAATGGGTGTGGGTGACGCATGCGGCCGCGGGCACTGGGGCCTTCGGTGGAGCTCCCTATGGAGCCACGAAACGTGTGAGGGGTGTGCCGAAATGGGTGTGGGTGACGCATGCGGCCGCGGCCACTGGGGCCTTCGGTGGAGCTCCCTATGGAGCCACGAAACGTGTGAGGGGTGTGCAGAAATGGGTGTGGGGGACGCATGCGGCCGCGGGCACTGGGGCCTTCGGTGGAGCTCCCTATGGAGCCACGAAACGTGTGAGGGGTGTGCCGAAATGGGTGTGGGTGCCGCATGCGGCCGCGGGCACTGGGGCCTTCGGTGGAGCTCCCTATGGAGCCTCGAAACGTGTGAGGGGTGTGCCGAAATGGGTGTGGGTGACGCATGCGGCCGCGGGCACTGGGGCCTTCGGTGGAGCTCCCTATGGAGCCACGAAACGTGTGAGGGGTGTGCCGAAATGGGCGTGGGTGACGCATGCGGGCGCGGGCACTGTGGCCTTCGGTGGAGCTCCCTATGGAACCACGAAACGTGTGAGGGGTGTGCCGAAATGGGTGTGGGGGACGCATGCGGCCGCGGGCACTGGGGCCTTCGGTGGAGCTCCCTATGGAGCCACGAAACGTGTGAGGGGTGTGCCGAAATGGGTGCGGGGGACGCATGCGGCCGCGGGCACTGGGGCCTTCGGTGGAGCTCCCTATGGAGCCACGAAACGTGTGAGGGGTGTGCCGAAATGGTGTGGGGGACGCATGCGGCCGCGGGCACTGGGGCCTTCGGTGGAGCTCCCTATGGAGCCACGAAACGTGTGAGGGGTGTGCCGAAATGGGTGTTGGGGACGCATGCGGCCGCGGGCACTGGGGCCTTCGGTGGAGCTCCCTATGGAGCCACGAAACGTGTGAGGGGTGTGCCGAAATGGGTGTGGGGGAAGCATGCGGCCGCGGGCACTGGGGCCTTCGGTGGAGCTCCCTATGGAGCCACGAAACGTGTGAGGGGTGTGCCGAAATGGGTGTGGGTGACGCATGCGGGCGCGGGCACTGGGGCCTTCGGTGGAGCTCCCTATGGAGCCACAAAACGTGTGAGGGGTGTGCCGAATTGGGCGTGGGTGACGCATTGCGGCCGGCGGGCCCACTGGGGCTCGGTGGAGCTCAAATGGAGCCACGAAAACATGTGAGGGGTGTGCCGAAATGGGTGTTGATGATTGAGATGATGATGGATGTGAGATTGATGGTGGTGATGAGGATTGATGATGATGATGATGATGATGATGGATGATGATGATGCTGAGATGATGATGATGATGATGATGATGATGGATGATGATGATGATGATGATGATGATGGATGATGATGATGATGATGATTGATGATGATGATGATGATGATGGAGATGATGATGATGATGATGATTGATGATGATGATGTGATGATGATGATGATGATGATGATGATGATGAATGATGATGATGATGATGATGATGATGATGATGATGATGATGATGATGATGAGGATGATGAATGGATGATGATGATGATGATGATGAGGATGATGATGATGTGATGATGATGATGATGATGATGATGATGATGATGATGATGATGATGATGATGATGATGATGATGATGATGATGGGAGGGGGGAGGAGGCAGCGGGAGGAAGGAAGGAAGGAAGGAAGGAGAACGCGGGGCACCGTCTCTTCAAAACGAGGACCCAACACCACAGGATGGTTGGGAAAAAGTAGGCATGCAAACCCGAGGAGCCTCCGAGACCCTCCCAACCTCGAACAGGACCTTTGAAGGGGAACTGGAACACACAAATAAATACACACAAATAAAAATATCCCCCTATTTTCCCATATTTTCTTGGTTTTTGTCTTCCCCACCACTTCCCATATTTTTGCATATTTTCCTGGGAGTCGACGATTAATTGTGTCTGTGTGTTTCTTTCCCTCCTGAACCTTATTTCAACGAACTGACTGTACCCGTTCGTTCCGTACCCATTCCGATCGTACGGACCGCGGCCTCTGGCCCGCGGGCGCGCCAGCGAGCCCCGGCGCGTGCCGCTGCATGCAGTCGCGCAGCGCCGCGGCGCCGCCGAGCCGCAAGTACTCGAGGTCCCGCTGGGGCCAGCCCAGGCCGTCGCAGAGCCGCCGCACCTAACCAGCCTCGATCTGATCCCTGTCCCAAAATGATGGGCCTGTTTTCCACCACCACCACCACCACCATAAGTTGGAGGGGGAGGGGGTCCTCCTCCTCCTCCTTCTCCTCCTCCTCCTCGTCCTCCTCCTCCTCCTCCTCCTGCTCTTCTTCGTCCTCCTCCTCCTCCTCCTCCTCCTCCTCCTCCTCGTCCTCCTGCTCCTCCTCCTCCTCCTCCTCTTCTTCGTCTTCCTCCTCCTTGTCCTCCTCCTCATCCTTCCCCCCTCCAACTTATGGTGGTGGTGGTGGAAAACAGGCCCATCACAAAAGGTGGCACGCCCAAAGGCGATGACAATCTCAGGGATGCGCCCTCAGGAACTGAAGGAATCCCCAAGGCCGGCATCGAGATCGGGCGACGCCGGTCACAGGGACGGGGACGTGCTCCAGACTGGGCAGGCACCAGGCTCTGCCGGAGGCCCAGCCGCCGGTGCGCCTCGGCACAGGGCCCGCAGAGGTATGCCGGCGGCTGCCGCAGGGGCGGATGGCCCGATCGGCGGGGCGGGGGAGCCACGTGGGAGGCCCCCCAAGCGGGGCCCGAGCACATGGGGACGGAGGATCGCACCGCCGCGGCGGTGCGCCGCCGAAGCATCGGCGATGCACCGGGGCGGCAACGGCGACGCACCGTCGCCGGCGGCGCGGAGCAGACCGGGCCCCACAGCGCGCCACCTCGCCGACGCCTCGGCGGGGTGCGGCGCGGCCCCCCGATCCTGCCCCATGCTCTCGGGCCCAATGTGGGAGGCCTGGCTAGGCGTGGCTGGCTCCGGAAGCCCTGAACCTGAAGACACCCTGCGCCCAAAGCTGTCGCCATCTCTTGGGGGCGCACGTTTTACTTCCGCATGCATCCGCAGGCTGCCGCCGGCTTCCGCTGGCGGAAGGCGCCCCGTTTTGCATCCGCCGCCTTCCGCCGCCTGCCGCCGGGGAAGCGATGGCAGCTCCTTCGATCCTCGAAGGCGGACCCCTTTTCTGGCACGCCCCGTGTATCCAAGGACTCCGCCTTCTACGACGCTACGATGCCCTCTGGCGAATGCGTGCGGTGCCCACCCGTGGGCTGTCCGCCCCCGTTGCAGCCGCCGGGTATATGCCGAACGACACGGAGGCCCACTCCGCGGCGTCCGCCGAGCAGTCGAAGCACGGGCGGTCCTCGGGAGCCCTCGCGCCGAAGATCGGAGAGGAGGCCAGTCGAGACGGCGGCGGCCCTCCCTGGCGATCAAAGGCACACAAGGACGCACACACACACACACACACACACACACACGGGCATACAAGCGCATGCGTCGACACACGGGACGCACGAGGACATACCTCGTGCGGCCTCGCTGGGGCGCACAAGGACATAGCAAGACGAGGAGATGAGGGGAACAAACAGTGACATACATCATAAAAACTCGGAGGTCCGCGCGGATTTCTTCGGATCGGCGCTGGACCCCCCTCCCTGGCGCGCGGAGCGCGCCAGGGGCGGCGCCGGAGGCGCCGCCAGGGGGCCCCAGCGCCGATCCGAGAAATCCGCGCGGACCTCCGAGATTTTGTGTATGTCACTCCTTGTTCCCCTATCACAAGCCCCACCCGACACAAACGGGTCAGTATGGAGGCGTCCAGGGCCGACTTCGAGCGGGCCTGGGCCGGGCGGGAGAGCCGCCACTGCCTCGACGGGCCCCCCTCCGAGAAGAGCTCCCGCGCCACGAGGGCAGCCCTGCTGGCGCCCACGGGCAGCACGTCCGCCCTCGGCACGAACCTGCCAGGAGGACGCCAACCGCACGCCTGCACCGATCCTCTTGCCAGGCTCCTCCTGGGCCCCGAGTGGGTGCTCACGCCCTCTTTGAGGAGGACAAGCGTCGTCTTGGGAGGGGCCGTGAAGGTGCAGGGCACGGCTCTGCAATGAGCACCTTCAACATACGCGGTAGCATTGCTGATCAGAGTATTCCTCCCAACCCCGTCCTCCCAACCCGATACACGTCGGTCGGAAGACGCGGGTAGAGACATGAAGTGGGAAGGCGGATAAAGTAGACTGGGCTCGGGCCAGCCCAAAAAATAAAAACAACAGCCAAAACACATCGATTATTGAAGTAGGAAGGCGCTTGAAGCAGATTGGGATCTGGGCATCCAAAGACACGTGTTTTCACCTACCGACGGGAAATTGTCTCTCTGATTCTTGACGTGGGCAGGAAGGCCTCTTCGCCGACAATTGTCTCTCTGATTCTTTCGGCTATACGAAAGAGTGACCCTAGACAAGAGTGACCTTCGGTGAGCGGCTTAACGCGGGACGCGGGGTGGCCAAACCTGGGCGCGCAAGTCGCTGCTACCGCGTCACGGTCAGCGATCGGGGGACCCCATCGGGCCCGCACCAAAGATCACGCCAGCGAAAGGTCACTCTTACTAGGGGCAAAGCAAACCTACCTCGCTTTTGACCACCCTCGCTTCCAAGAGATACCAGGCGATGCCAAACCACGGCCTGTACTGGTCAGGCCGCTTGACGAGGAGGCGCGTGGTATGACTTGGTTTTGCCTGGAAGGGAAAGCGGGGTAGGTAATTCACGCTCTGACTTACGCCTGGTCGATTCTTCACTTGCGCAGGGAGGCCTCTTCACTGCCGCCGGGCCCAGGGGTGGGATCTGCCTGGCCAGGGTCGGTGCAGGTGCACGGCAGGCACGTGCCCTGCGAAATCTCGCATGCAAGAGGTCTCTACTCGCCATCGCTCGGAGGTCCATTTCCCCGTGCACGGTTCGAGGTCGTGCGTGTCTCTCGCCATCGCTCGGACGTGCATTCCCTGTGTTTTTGTTCGGTTTCGTGCGTGGCTTGTTCGCCAAATGATCAAGGATGCTCCTCGATGGCCCTCGCCGAAGGAAAAATACACACGTCCGAGCGATGCCAGGGTCTTGTTTTGCTCGATGATCCAGGATGCTCCTCGATGGTCCTCGCCACGAAGAAACGCACACGTCCGAGCGATGCCCAGTGACTTCGGCAGGGAGGCCTCTCCAATGCCCCTGGGCAGGAGTCCGCCTCGGCCTGGCCAGGGTCGGTGCAGGCGCACGGCAAGCACAAGCCCCACGAAGCCTCGCTACAGTCGGCCTTGATTGGGCAGGACACGCGAGAGGACACAAGGCCCTTCCGAGGGCCACCTCGCCATAGGAGTGTAAGAAGGCACGTGTCGCGAGGCACAGGACACCAGGGCACCCTTGAGCTGGCAGGGTCGACCTACTAATCCGGGCCGACTGTACAGTCGGACCTGCGACAGGAGAGCATCCTACACGAGCCCCTGCGCCGGCCAGAGCACACTGAACCACCACGGGCACCCTCCCCGGGGTACACAGGAGCATCCAACCAACTTTTCGCGTCGGTGGCCAGGCAGGGGTCGTCTGCGCTGGCGGAAGGAGCTAGCTGAACGGGGGGGGGGGGGGGGCACCGCTGTAGCGAGTTGGCCAACATGCCAGGGCGAAGACACGGGCCAGAGCGGGCGGCCGCAGAGAGCGGGAGGGAAGGCGACGGCCACTCAGGGGAGCATCCCAGGGCGGAACCTAAACGGTGTTTTTCGTTTTCGGTTTGTTTTCGTTCTCCCTTGCTTTTGTCTCGAATCCGCCCTTCCCGCAAAACGAAGTCGAAACGAAGACGGCCCACGAAATCACCAAAAACACCGTTTGGGTCCAGCCCCGGAGCATCCAGCAGACACGAAGAACACCAGGGTACCCCTCCCCGAGCCGACCTCGACCTTGCATGAGCAGCAATGCAGCAGGAGCAGCAGGAGCAGCAGGAGCAGCAGGAGCAGCAGGAGCAGGAGCAGGATCAGGAGCAGGAGCAGGAGGAGGAGGAGGAGGAGGAGCAGGAGGAGGAGGAGGAGGAGGAGGAAGAGGAGCAGAGGAGAGAGGACCTCGGTCCGCCTGTACGGGACATCTCTGGGGGCACGCCCCTCGTCGACCCCCCGCGCGTCGCGGGGAGTGCTCCGGGGCTCTGCGGGCCCCAGCGGGAAGTGCAGTCGGGGCGTTGACCGAAGGCACCCCAGAGAAGGAGCGAGCCCCCTTCTTCTCCACAAGCTGAACTTCGATCCCCCATCGAAAACCTAAGGGAAACTGAAGGCAAGCTGTAAACCAACCAAAGAAAACCGAGCCCCGTCCCCAGCAGAAAGGGCTCCTTCTTCAGCGCCCCGACTGTAATGAGGATGCGCGGGAAGGATGCGCCGACCTCGGAGGGCCATATCGACGCTTTGCGAGCGGGGCGCGGCCAGCGAAAGCGGCCCAGGATGGGCCGAAGGGGAAGGATGCAAGGGTAATCTCGGAAAGTTGCCCATCCGGGCATCCTCGCGGCACCCGTTTGGGACAAGAGATAACTCTACAGTCGGGTCGGGCGAAAGGGGGGGATAGCAAAAGGGGGGTTTGAGAATCAGCTCGCGTAGCTGATTTTCCCAGCGCCTCCCGGCGCCAGAGGCGGCCATGTATCGAGGAATGGGCGCCTCGGTGGGGCCGATACCAGCTGCATGCAGCAGATTTCGTACCCCCCCCCTTCGTCCGGCCCGATACAGGCATGTAAGCTTTCGGAGCCCCGCGCTGACTTCTGGGATCTGCGCTGGACCCTCTTCCACGGCGCGCGGAGCGCGCCAAGGGCGGCGCCGGAGGCGCCGCCTGGCGGGCCCGTGCGCCGATCCAGGAAGTCCGCGCGGAGCTCGGAAATCGTGGGCGTGTGCGTGGGTGAACGGGTGCTCGCCGGTCCGCCGCTGAGCTGCTGCGTGAGGCCCCGGTTAGCCGCTGTAGGTGTGGCCACCCTCCGTCTCTTTAGGTTAATTCGTCGCTGCGTGCCCCGCTTTGACTGGACTCGCCGCCGGCGCGCTCGCCCGCGGCCGCTGACTAAAAAGTGGGTGCGTGGGTGTATGCCTTTGGTTTTTCTTCGACCGCTGGCAGGTCAACCTCTCGCTTCGCGCGCCTGCTGGCCTAAATAGCTGGTGCCCTCCGCCCGGGATGGGCACTTGCGCCCTCTCGGCTCGGGGGACCCAGGGTGAGGCTGGCCAGGATCGGTGCAGGTGCATACCCAGACGTCCGACGCCCTGATGCTTTCGGTACGGGGCCCATGAATGGCCCCCGCAGGCCGAAAACGCAGAGGCCAAAAACTTCCGTCATGCTTTCCTCACGACGCGAGCATGTGCCTGGCCCCCCGGACGCCCCGCCCCCGACCAGGCGCCGCGTCGGAGCCGGACGACATCCGACGTCCTGCTGCTTTCAGCCGACCCTGCCCCAGGGCCGGCTTGTCATCCCGCCCTCGCGCTTTCCCCGAGGAGGTCGTCAAAAAAATGACGAGGCCGAGCCTGCATTTTGACGAGGCCTCCCGCTGCAGACATCCCACGAAACTCTCCTCGTCAAAATCCGAGGCGCGGTCGTCAAAAAACGATGGCGAACCCGAGTCCTGGCAAACCTGGGTCTTACGCTCCCCCGATAATGGGGGGGTCACAAATTGGGGGGTCAGAAAAGGTCCCCTTTCGTGCCCCTTTCGGGCCCCTCCAGAGCCCCAGGGGGCTCGTTTAGGTACCGTTTGGGTACCTTTTCGGACCACGCTCGCCACCCCCCCCGTTTATGACCCCCCATTACACGGCGCCCAACAGCATCGAGGCACCCCGAGACCGGCTCGTTCGTCGGGCCTGCCCCATGTGGCAAAAGGCAAAGGCAAAGGATGCGTTCGTCCGTCATCGTAAAAAAGGCAAAAGGAAAAGGCAAACGGCAAAAGGCAAAGGCAAAGGCAAAGGCAAAAGGCCACGAAAGCCCGTTCGACAAAGGCAAAAGGAAAAGGCAAAGGCAAAGGCCACGAAGCCGGCTCGTTCGTCCGGCAAAAGGCAGAAGAATCGGAGATCGACGGAGCATTCTGCGCATTTGTCGAAGACTCGAGGGACAATCAATTCTGGGGCCAATCAATTTTGTGGTCGACCCCCGACAGTCGGACCTGGGGCAGAAGAGCATCCTTCAAGAACATGAGACCCTCCGCCGGCCCAAACTGCAGAGCATTCGAGGCCACCCTCTCCCAGGATGCACAAACACAAAAAAACACCCCACAAACTTCCAGTGGCAACTCATGAGAGCCTCCCATACCATCTTGTCAGCTCTTGCGAATCGATGCTAACTAATTGAAGCTAATTAATCAACGCCAATCGACGCTAAATCGACGCTAATCGACGCTAGCAGACGCTAAATCGGCGCTATCTCATCGACACAGGACGCTAATCGACGCGAGTCGACGCTAAAGACGGAATGTAAAGGGTATACCAGGTTCCCATGATTTTCCACCGAACGAACTCGCAGAACAGGCTTCCCAGGTGGCCGAAGTGCTACCACCAACACCGAATTCTGGGATCACCTTCCCCCGGTTGTGGCATGCCCGTGCGCTGGTGTCGGTGCCCATTCCCAAGCCTCCAAAAAGCACCTCGGCCGGGGGCAGAGGGGTTTGGACAGAAGCCCCGCTCGGAAGCCTCCGTTTGATCGGGGGCGCCTTGGATCCAAGCTGCGGTTTTTGGCTGCGGCAGGGCTGCTGCGCTGCGACTTGGGCACCAAGGCGGCCAGGAAGGCCAGGAGGGATAGGGGAGCCCCGACCGTCCAAGAGGGTCAAATAATATAGCGCCAGGACGTCGACGTCCTAAACCCTGTCGAGCTCCGAGGCACTCCAGACAGCTCTGCGGGTCTGGAGCGCTATTTTCTGGCACTCTGGACGGCCAGGGAGAGGGGGGCCGAGGACGGCCAGAGCGCCCTCGGAGCGTGAAGCAGGC